GTTGTGAGTAGACAAGTAAGGAACAGTGGTAGGCGCCACGTTTACAAATGATGGTGCGAATACACTGTTAAGAGCTAGGCAACAATTTTCTCTTGGAATAAATGAGTCGCTCCCTGAAACTAGGTCAATTTGTTTTTTGTTATTGCCACCAATTACCTGCCAAAATCTACGAGGATTAGTTACTAACAAAGAAGGCAACGTTTGTTCAAAATATGAGTGCTTGGCAAGTGAGAGTGCGCGTGCGTACTCATCGGGTATACTACGATAATCATCCCATCTTTTGATGTTGCCCAAGAGCTTTGCACTTCGAAAGATCCGCTTCTTTTTATTAAGTAGCCGCCTTAAAGTAGGCGTGAACCAAGCAGACTGATTGTTATCGGTTATTTTACGGCGCGGTATGAAGCGGTCGGTAAGTTCTTCGATTTTAGCTCTAAAACGTAGCCAGTTTTCGTTTACCGAGCGTTCAGAAAAGCTAGAAAAAAATTTTTGTGAAAATGTCTCTAGTTCAGCATTAATTAACGTGTAATCAGCTCTCCTCGTAATCTCTGATTATTTTTGTAGTTTTACTAATTTTTGACGGCGTGTTCGGTATGAGAAAGTGAATGGCAGAGTGATCGCTAAGACCTGGCACGACTGACAGAAACTGGATGAGATCAGGGTTATTTGTGAACACCAAGTCTAATATGGTAGAACTAGTAGACGTGATACGGGTTGGAGAGTTAACCAACTGGCTAAGGTTAAACTCTAAGCATGTATTAATAAAAGAGGTGGGTTCAGAATTACTGGAGCCAGGTAAGTACAAGGCGAATTTCAGTGGATGTCGGGGAAATTAAAATCGCCTAAAAGAATAATATGCGAGGTGGGAAACCGAACATGAAGCATGTTAAGGGCATTGTACAAATCTGAAGAAAAACCAGCAGGTATATTAGGAGGCCGATAGCACGCACAAACGAGAGCGTCTTTGTTGTGTAAGCGAACACTAACGCACACTAATTCTAGAGGGCAAACGAGAGCTACGTGTGATGAAACCAGATCGTCTGCAACAGTTATGAGGACACCGCCTCCGGAGCGCGATCCACGATCGTATCGTTAAAAATTGTATTTTTTTTCGCAATTTAGAATTTCGGAGCTGTCTCCTTCCGCGGAAAGCCACGTCTCTGTCAATACGACGACGTCTGCAAGACAGGTGTCAATCAGAGATGACAGGGCGTCTCGCTTGCCCTATACACTTCTCACATTACTAAGCAGAAAGGAACAATCGTGTTTGACAGTACCACGTCGTGGATTTATTTTTTGCTACGAAGACGCCTGGACTGACGAGCTATGAGGACTTAGGTTAGTGTCATTTTCGTTGTTATCGCCAACTGGAACAACAGACGACACATGATCAGTGACTGGGCAGTACACGTAACTTTTCTTGTTAATAACAACCTTGTTGTATTTTACTGAATACTTTTGACCGCTGGATTTACCGAAATCAGTTAGTTTTTTCCTGGCTGTCCGTGTGGCTTTACAAAAATCTTCGTTAATATTAATGTTCGTACCGCGCAACTTTGCTTTTTGGGAAAAGATGTTACCTCTAACTTTGAATGACGCAAACGTACGACAACAGGGCGGCACTTGTTTGTTACAAATGCTCCTAGTCTGTGGGCTCGAGATATCGCGTCATCTGAAAGCTGCATCTCGAAAGAACTTGAAAGAATTGCCCTAACCTTTGCTTTTGTGTTTGACCATGTTTCGCCTGTAGCATCAGTAATTCCGTGGAAGATTAAGTTGTCTCGTTGCGATCAGTCTTCGTAGTCGTCAAGTCGTGCGCGAAGAGTAGCATTCTCACTACGAACCGCTGACGCAATCCAAACAGAACAATCCGAACGCGATCCCTCGATATGTTTTCCAAAGTGTTCACCTTTTCTTCAAGGTTTGCTAAACGTGTTGTAAGGTCGGACGCTTCGTTATCAAGAACCTTTTGGTTATATTTAACTACTTCAATGAATGCTATAAGATTGTCGTGCCGCTCATCGAGGTGCTCCGTTAGGCGACCTATAGCTAATAGGACTGCATTATCCTGTACTTTGGGGCCTGGCTTTGGGGGACCAGAATTCAGTTCAACTTCACCTCCCAACAAAAACAATTTCACAACATGAACACATTCACCAGCAGTAACTATTAAAACGTGTGGGCATGGGAATAGCAGCAAACATACGTTATTACATCTTCTACAGTGAATAGAATAACAACCAACCTGGGTGAAAAGACAGAAGTGGTTTTTAGCGACCATTGTCGCTGCTGCCATCCCATGCCCACTGAACGGGTGATGCTTCGAGGACGAGCTTATGTAGTCCACCGTTGTCGCTGTCGATGTCGTTGCAGCCTTCCTCACAAACGCTCCGGTATCGCATCACACAGTGGGTGAGGACGACCCAGGAAATCAGCACCGATATCGCTGCAAGCCTCCGGAAGAGGGCACGTGCCAGACTTGGGTACGTGCGCTGCACAATCCACGCAGACAGGGATGCACGTTCCGATGACGAGGGCCAACTGGTTGAAAAGACAGGAGTGGTTTTTAGCGACCATTGTCGCTGCTGCCATCCCATGCCCACTGAACGGGTGATGCTTCGAGGACGAGCTTATGTAGTCCACCGTTGTCGCTGTCGATGTCGTTGCGGCCTTCCTCAAACGCTCCGATATCGCATCACACAGTGGGTGAGGGCGTTCCTAGAAATCAGCGCCGATATCGCTGCAAGCCTCCAGAAGAGGGCACGTGCCAGACTTGGGTACATGCGCTGCACAATCCACGCAGACAGGGATGCACGTTCCGCTGACGAGGGCCAACTGGGTGAAAAGACAGAAGTAGTTTTTAGCGACCATTGTCGCTGCTGCCATCCCATGCCCACGTATAGACAGAATGCCCTAGCCACATAAGGTATCGCTGCAAAAGGAAAACGAGATTTTTCAGTCATGTAGTTTCAGCATAGAGATGAGTGCCGGAGGGGGTTGGCTTTATGAGACTATCTAAATAATGTCATGTTAAGCCCAGCAGTATAATCGATTGTGAAGAAAGTGAACCTTCCTTTATCTTTGAAGTCATCTTGGGGGACGGCAGTTGTGACTATGAGTCTCTAGCGCTGTACGTCACAGCGTTTGTCCACCATATCTGCTGATAACTACGTAAGTGTATTTAGGATGAGCTTCATCGATTTACCAAGTCTCGGATCACTCGCCGGCGGCCTGCGGACGCCTCGGCTCATAGGTGGCTTCGTCACATGCACGTGATCCAAGTCTCGAGCCAGTCCGAGCGGCCTCCGGCCATCTGCACGCTTGATGCTGTCTGCGTCCACTGTGGCGCCTGCTATGCCATCCGCTCCCTCCATGGCAGTGACACAGGCCCCAGAGCCGACCCGATTCCAGCCTAAACAGTAGTTTGGTATTTCCGTTGTGATGCGACTTACTACTGTAAGTGAACTATACGAGCGCGCACTCATCGTAGACCAGCGCGGTCACTCCACTACGCTGTTTCTCCTAGCGAGTATATCACGTGTTTGCCCGACCTTCGGGAATACGCACATGCTCGACATGGCTCAGAACACCGATGGCAAGAACTGGGTGCGCAAACGATGCGAAATCCAGAAACATGCGAGAAGCAGACAGAAAAGCAAGGAGAGAGCAAGAGTACGCAAAAAATTTCAAAGTCTAACTTAAGATGGCTGCACTGGCATGTGCCTTGCGCTTTCGGCTACCAGCTGCCCGAAAGAAATAGTTCGGACAGTCTCGGGCCGCTCGTAGGCCGCCGGACACGCGAAAAACAAACGTGCGTCCGAGCGATCCCGGACCAGTGAGCAGAGCTTCTGGTTGGTTCCCAAGAAAAACGAATGCGGTGCCGTCGTCCGGGGCTGTTTCAAGCCGTCTGGGATCTGTAAATCGATGAAGCCTAATGTTTATGAAGTACAATTTTATTCAACCAGTACAGTCAAACCCCTTTACAAGAGGCACTGATATAAGAGACAAATGGGTATAAGAGACATCAGTGTGCCTACAGTAAAATATGGGTTGATAAAAAAATGCATATGTGGTACCCTGCTCATAAGAGACATTTCGTATAAAAGACAAAATTGCTGCCCTTATAAGCACACCTCTTATAAAGGGGTTCAACTGTATCCTGTTTATTTGCTAGTTTTTTCAAAATGCTCAACAGCATGACGCCATTATTTTTGATCATCAGCTCAAATAGGGAGTTGCTCTTAAAATGATTGGCTGGATGATATTTGCAATGAATTTAAATATTTCTAGCTCTTTACAAGAACCTCAAAATAATTATTGATGTCCTTGAATGAATACGCAACTTGATTCACCTCTAGGTTTAGAACTTAGCTGCTCCAGAGTGCTCCAAAGTTGAAACTTTTGTGGCTCCCAAGTGCTCCAAAATTCAAGATTCTGCGCCCCCAAAAAATGCTCCAAATCAGAAGGCTTTGGTACTATCACTGGTAAGGCCATTACAGCCCTAGCACCAATACAGAATCCAACAGTGAACCAATTGGAGGAGCTGCTGGCCAGCGAGAACCTGGAAGATCAGCTGTGTCTGATCGACTGGGCCTGCAGAGCGGCTGCTGCAAGCGCAGCCCTTGACTAAGGCCTGCCCCGCTCCACCGCAAGCCAGGAATATCAACGGCTACTCAGAGCTTCTCAGTAGGAAATGTCCTGTAAATAAATAAGTTTTCCTCACCACTTGCACACACTGCAGTGAAAGCAAGTTTTATTGTTGTATAAGCTCATAGCGTTTTGGTAATTTTTGGGCTAATAAATTGACACTGGGAACTAAAAATGAATGGAGACTGTCAGGAATGCGTCACTCGGACTCGCATTTAGTCCAAGATGGGATTTGGGTCAAACATAAAAAAGTAGAGGTATTTCCTATATTTTTGTGCTGCGTGATCAGGTCAAAAAATTATTGCAATTATTTATTTGCATAGCATTTCAGTGCTTACTCATCATGATGCTTGCAGGAGTTCGTCAAGGTGGTCTCCCCTGTCAAAAGGAAGCAGGTTCTGACGGAGCACCAGAAAGAGGTCCGCAAGGAACGCAGGTGAACTAGTCTCTGAGCTTATGATTTTCTTTGTTGTAACTCCAGGATGAGTGTCAACAAAATGTTTCATTTTTTGGCACCCAATTTCACTTCGTATTAAAGAAATCCTTGTGCTCTGGAGGGAGGCTACTCTAGAGAAGGAAGTTTTTTTTTGTTTGCTGAAATATTTAATGAAATTTTCAAGAATGACTTGAAACCACAACAATCCGTGCAGTGTGGGGTTTCGATATGGGAGAACACGACGCTCTTGAAGTGAACGGACACAGTAGACACGGTCGGAACGAACCAGACAATACACACATTTATTTAACTGCTTTTTTTAAACCATATCATCAGCCGAATTGTTATAACATCAATCGTGATTTCCACGGTAAAGCATCCTTACACAATATAGCACTGAACATGATGAAAAACAAGGTAGTGTCGCTAACACCGGACTAACCACGTGGGCCCACCGCAGACGGCCCACGGTGCCGTTCCGGCAGACACACTGCTGGAGGCAACCGTCCGCGCTACCGCCCCACACCAACAGAAAGGAGTTTACTTCTTGCGCACCACCACGAAGGCTTCCCGCCAGGCGTCACCGGTGCTCACGTTTTCTAACCATGATGATGATGGTGGTGGCGATAAACGCTCACAAGCACAATGCCACCTGCTGCTCAATAGTTGTGACCCTGAAATACGGCTTCTGCACGAAACAAATGCGCCACGCGGCGCAAACAACATTACGGGGGTTGTCAGCACCCTTGCAGCAGTCAGATTGGCTTGAAAGTTACAACCATGTATATGTATTGCACATGACATGCAGGAAATGTAGTGACCCTGAAATTCACTATGATGTTTCCTGTATGCATACCGTAAGCTAAGATGAAGCCAGTTTTTTTTTCCCTTCTTTTCTTTCACTTTTTTGCCAGCAAATTTTGCAGGTGATGAAAATTAGTATTGCTGATTAGGTTTTTGTCAAGAAAATTTTAATTAGCTCAAATTTTTTTGACATGAAAGTTTTGCTGCTGATATGTTTAAGTTCCTACACTTTGCCGGATATAAATTACTAGCTAAGGCAAAAGCGTGCTCGTCTACCTCTTAGTCTTCTGACCAACTTCTGTGGGGCATCTGTGTGTGTTCAGAAGGGAAAGAGGCACTGGCCCTCTGTACCAAAAGAAATGAATAAAAGAGAGGGCGTTGTGCTTTCTGAGGCATTGAAATGGGAAACCCAAATCTCTGAGTTTGTGCTTCTGTTGGAAGGAATCGAAAAGACGTCATAGATATCGCAGTCAACCCATAATCTAGCCAAGCCATAAGTGAGAAGTTGACATGGCCTCTCTCCAAGGCCATTTGGGCCAGCTCGGTATGCTGCTTCGTGATGTGTTATACTGGGACATGCCACGTACCAGTGAACCTTTTGGTGCATTGGACTCTACAATAGCTACACCAGGACTGGGCACAAAGGAGTTGGCAGCTGAGTATATGTCCTAGACAGGTGCCACTCTACTGTGTTCTGGCACCATTTACACAGATTTTCCCCCTGGAGTTCAAAGTACGGGACGCTCTACTCTAATTGCATTCAACAGTGTGCAACTGGTAACCACTGTGAAAGGTTTACTTGCTTCACCAATATCAGGTTTCAGCTGCACTGAAGTGACTTCATGCAAAACAGTCGAACCCCTTTATAAGAGACAGTGATATAAGAGACAAATATCAAATGGGTATAAGAGACACCAGTGTGCCTACAGTAAAATACGGGATCATAAGAAAATGCACACAAGATACCCTGCTTATAAAAGACATCTGATATAAAAGACAAGAAGTGTTTCCCGGAGCATGCTTCTTACATAGGGGTTCAGCTATAGCGGCACTGCAGCACACATCTACACCCCTGTCTTCAACTCTGCCAAAAGAAAAAATTGGCCCTGTATCTGCATTTAATCTGCAAATGTCGTCGAAAGACGATAGTCTTGCGTGTGGAGAGAGTGAACAAAACATATATTTGATGTTCTGCGCAAGAAAATTGGTGAATGGTATTCCAGAGGTGCTGCGTTGGAGTACCTCGAGCGTGCAGTGGAGGCGAACAAGCGCATCAAGTCACGTTCCGCGTGAGACATGAGCGCCATCTGGCAGTTTTTTTTGGAAGACAAAGCGCATGGCCGTGTGCGTCCGCCTCAGGGGTGATAAGCTGTAGAACGCGAGGCGACGGGTAGGTGCCACCACCATCTTGTCTTAGCAAAGCATTGGAAACACTCCCCATTTCGTGCATGGGTTGCATGGTAAGCGCAGCGTAATATGCGCTACGGTCCTTAGAATTACTAACGTATACCTTTCGTAGTAAAAGACGCACATGCAGATCATATACGTGTTGTTATTGTGCCTCAGATATGCGCAATAATTGCTTTTTAGTCAACAATGCCACAAGTAGGAACACTGAATTTTGAGCAACATTGGTGGGCGCTGCAGATGTGGTCGGCCGTTTCAAGTACCCGATGCGGGTAAGAGTGGACAAACAGAGAAAATACAGACAGACAGACAGACCAAATTTTTGCGTCAAAGGTCCCCAAGAAAGACTATCGTTTTTAAAACAACACAAGACATGCATAGCTAATAACCCACACCCCCACTTTTGAAGCACATCTTTTGTTTTTTCAGTGTGGGTTGTAGAGTATGCACTTAAATCTTGATATTAAAGCTTTATAAGCAGTCTATACTATGTGTGAAAAAATGTGCATTATTTCTTGCATACAGGTCCTTTCCAGCCCTATATAGCAACCTGTCCCAGAGTGGCGGCATAGACAGCCAAGATTCAGAGACTCCACAGGAATCCGAGGAGATGGACGATGAACCTTTCACCGGAGGAAAGGTTAGAGTTTCTATTCTTTCACTTCCATCTTTATTCATTAAGGGCGCTCTGGGGAGACCTCAGTATTCGTGGGCCAACACTCAGTCAACGAGGATTGCTTGTGAAGACATTCTTTAACGTGTTCAAATGCCCTGAGTTGATCACGCCATGCGTTCACATGTTTCCCGCCATCTTTCTCCATAATGTCCTTTTTCTGCTTCAGGACTATGCTCAATTTGTTCCATGGCATCTTGAAAGCTTCAGCAAAGGCTTACTTCTGTTCTCCTTTTTCAAGACAAATGAATGGTCTCCAGTTTTGTCACATACATATTTACTCGAATCTCAGCCAATCCTGATTCTAAACTGACTCCCAAAACTCCGAAGCCTGGGGGAGGGGGGGGACTTACCTAGATAGCAGGCCGATCGAAACATCGAAGACAGCATTCACAAAGAGGAAACATTTATTGAACATGAAACAAAGGAGTTGGTTCAGGATGCAGATAACTTGAGAAACATATAGCCACTACAGTCTACTGCCGATTTTTCGGACCCTCTAGGAAGCGAAGAACCGTCTGAAAAAATGAATGCAAGCAAAAAAAAATGCATTATTTTACTGATAATTTTCAATGCAAGCAAAAAAAAAAGGCACCATTTTGCTAATATTTATCAATACAAGCGAAAAACGCACCATTTCATTGATATTTCTCAGATCAAGAGGGTCAAGGTCGAAGTACCAGACTTCCGGAACTCTGCCAAAGCATCAGTGGGGTGGCTCTGAAAAGAGCCGTTAAAAAAAATGCATGCAGCCGACAGCGGGTGCCGTCAGGGCAGCCGGTGTTAGAGCTGCAGCGGCTTGAAAAACTTGTTGATCCTTGTTTGAATGATGTTCCGCTTGCATGTGATCACATTCGCCTCCATATGAGAAAGAGTTATATCATCACTGTACACCGATGACAGCCTCATCAATGCTCACATCAATTCGGCGGTCGTAGGTGGCGCAGGCGTTGGTTCCTCTTTTTTGACATCGGAGTCGTCTGAATCCGCCTTAACCTGACTGAATATTTCGTCAACGGTTAGCTCTGCACAGAAGTCGAGCTCATTGTCAGCGTCGACGAACCGTTCAAAAGTTATTTCCGTGGGCATGGAAGCACCAGCAGAGCGGAGGTCGTTGATAATATTGTTCATGAGAGGGCACAAGTCAGTCACGCTGTCGCTTTCTTCAGGCAAGTCTGCTGCCTCTGTGTCGAGTATGAAACCCGCGTGGCGAAAGCACTTGCGAAGCGTGTCTTGCGTTACTGCCTTCCATGTGTCTGCAAGCATTCCGACAGCAGAACGAGGGTCAACACTGTAGGCTTTCCCGTTTTCCGAGCACAGCACCATGCTGTTGACTATACGTGAACGGTACAAATGTTTCAGATTACGGATAACGCCTTGGTCCATCGGTTGGAGGACCGCATTCGTGTTGGGCGGCATGAATTCCAGCAGGATAGCCTTCAAGTTATTGATGTGACCATGAGCAGCGCAGTTGTCAACGAAGAGCAGAACACGTCTGCTCAAACTTTCTGTCCAACCTGCAGACGTAACTCTCGAAGTACTGCTGCGTTACCCATGCCTTTTTGTTGGCTTTGTATAACACTGGCAGCGTTGCCCCTTTAAAACACCTCGGGCTCTTTGACTTCCCGATTACTAACAAAGGAAGTTTCTCGCTGCCAGACACGTTGCCGCGGACAAGAATGGTCAGCCGTTCTTTGCTATGCTTGCCACCATGGCATGCGTCACCAGCAAAAGCGAGTGTTTTTTCCAGCAACAGCTTGTAAAACAAGCCAGTTTTGTCGCAGTTGAAAATGTTTTCAGCAGAAAACTGCTGCAACAAAGACTGGAGTTTTCCACTGCGGTACTGCGCAATAACTGCACTGCCGCTTTTGCCACACATCTTCTTGAACTTGAGGTCATTCCGATGCTTAAGGTTTTTCAGCCATTTATCATTGAACTTAAAATCCGTGATGTCCATTCGAAGCGCGAGAGTTTCCGCTTTTTGTTTCAAGATGCAGCCCGAGACTGGCAACCGCTTGGCAATCATTGAATTTAGCCGCACGACGAGAGCGTCCTCAAGCTTTGGATGAACACCTTGGCTTGCATTCATCTTTTGGGCACCAGGCGATATTTCGACCGCTTCCAAGATCTTGTCTTTGTTTCTCAGGAAATTGGAAACTGTTTGCTTGGAAATGCCGAACTCCTTGCTCACGTCAGCCTGCGATCGGCCACTCTTCACTAACTTAATAATGGCGGCTTTCTTCTCCGTCGTTAACCGACAGTACTGTTTTCCGCGCTTCGATGCCATCGACGAAAACGACGAAGGCAGAGTGGGGGTCATCGCAGGCAAGCGAAATCCTCACGATGTGAACAAAGGAGTTTGCTGACGAGCGTCGAAGCACCTAGGCTTAGCGTTGCAGAGCACACTTCACATGATCGCACAACCACGCACTAGGCTAGCCAAACACCATATGGGCTGCGTAAACAAAATGACGCGACGGCAGGCGGCGGTGTCTCGGGTACTCCGGAAGTGGCGCTGGTAAACATTCAAGATAGCTAGCGTGGCCAGACCAAATTGGTGTGGGACGGTTAGTTCTAGTTCAAAATGGTAAAACGCTTCGCGAAAGCGCTGCGCGGGAAGCCAGAGTGGCACGCATGAGCACAAGCGCTAAAGCGAAAGGAACTTAATTGGCGCCAAAAAATTTGTGGGTGGATAGTTTTGATTGTCAGCGAAGCACCCTTGCACGATAAACACGGCCAGTGTTAGGAATCTCGGAGGCCGTGTGTGTTTCTCCGCTAACGATCAACGAGTCTAAGTAACAGATGTTGCCACAGTAGACCGGCGCGCTCATTGACGCGATCGTAATCGTGTGTGACGCAGTAATGGTGGTTTCTATTAGAGGTCAGTGGTGGTTTCCGACCTTCCGTCAGGTCAAAAAGTTCGGAAAATTGGACTCCGGGGGGTTCGAGCGTCTGAAATTTCAGACTTCCTTATACATTGATTCTATGGGGCTCGTGGCGGTGCCGCGAAGATGTCCGAATTATCGGTCATGTCCGAAAAAGCGGGTGTCCAAAAAATTGGCAGTTGACTGTAGTCCCATTGTGTGTGTGTTTCTTTTTTTCTTGTCGTTTTTTTCGTGCTTGCTGATCTCACACTTATTCCGAGTCGTCATTGCTTTGTCACTGTCTTCAAACAATGGAGAATCCTCGGTGCCATCGAGCACAGTGGATATGCAGCACTCCTTAAAAGAGCGCACAGTCAAAGTTCCTGGGATGTCCTTCCACGCTGCAGCCCCTCTAGTGACGCACTTTTTTCTCGTCCACGCTAAAGTCTCGCCTGGCTTGAATGTTGGACGACGACTCTGCGGCTAGGACGGCTTTCCTTTTATAAGCGACACTATACATAATGACACTGCCTGTTTGGTGTCATTGAGCTACACCACATAGACCACTCTAAGCGCAACTTGAAATGACCAACTGCTTGTCTCAACACTCGCCACAAAGATCAAAATGGCAGCCTCACGTGTGTGCTTGTTCCTCCTAGACTAGACGCCTGGGACGTGAGCCAAAAAGCTGGTTCCTGGCTCTCTCCTGTTCTCTCATCCTCCGCTTCACCAAACAGTGTCAGCTGTGATTCATCATTGCGGTAGCTGCTTTAAACCTCTCAGCCTCCGAGATTAAAATAATATCGACTGCCGTCCCGGAGGCAGCACTCGCCGAACTGGCGCGCTGTAGACTGTGATAACGTCACTTCCAAATACAGTCGAGCCCCTTTATAAAAGACACTGGTATAGGAAACAAATGGTTATAAGAGACACCAGTGTGCCTAAAGTAAAATACGGGTTGACAAGAAAATGCATACATGGTACCATGCTTATAAGAGACATCTCATATAAAAGACAACAGTTGCTGCCCAGAGCATGCCTCTTACAAAGGGGTTCAATTGTACAGCAGATGTAGTTATGTTGGCTACTAGCGCTCTTTCGCAGAAAGCACTGAACGACGAAGGACCTCCCATCCCCATAAGAAAGCGTGCCACGTCGCTGGCATCTTTATAGAGGAGCGGTTGTGTATACTTAAGCCAGATGTTGGTTCGGCTACTAATGGCTAGAAGAGACTTTCCCGGACACCCGAAATTTCGGACATGTCCGATTTCCCGGACTCATTTGTCGCACCCTCAAGTTCTCGATAGAGTCAATGTATTAAAAAGTCTGGAATTCTCAGACGCTTATAGCCTTCGGCATCCGATTTCCCCGGATTTTTACTGTTAATGACCAACTCGGTCACCACCGAAGCTGCCATTTTGGTTGTTTTCATATCCTCGAACCCGCCATACTAGCATCGCAGGTATAACCAGTAGCACCACCACCAACCGCTGCACCGTTTCGGGGCTGCCATAACCTCAAAACCGCACGTGTCAATCAGTTGCCAGCCGTAGCTTAGTGGCTTAGCCAAGCCAAACCCCATTGTGTTTGTTCACGTGTTGTTTTGTCAGCTGTGCGGTCATGTCTGTGGTTGATCGTTTGTTGCTGCGCGCTATCTTCAGTGATCATGTTTCCCGACCTTCAGCATCTACAGAGTTCCTAGCTGTTACGTGCTGCGCCTTTTGTCGAGCGGATGGGCCGTTTACAGTGATGGTACTAACTGCTCCTTTGTCTTCTTCAGCACCTTCGAAGCGCACAAAGCTCCCTCGTAGGCTCACGATGGAGAAGAAAGCTGCCATCATTGAACAGGTCAAATGCGGTCGGTCGCAAACAAAGGTGGAGAGGGAGTTAGGAATTTCGAAGCAAACTGTTTCGGACTTCATCAAAAACAAATCGAAGATCTTGGAAGTTGCTGTGAAATCAACCCGGGCTAGAAAGAAAAATGCGAGCCAGGGTGTTGTGGGGTCTCAAATTGGCGAGCGCCATGCCACGCTCTTGGAGTGAACTGACACAGCAGACACGGTGTGTACAAACCAAGCAATACACAAACATTTATTTAACTTA